TCGAAGATCTCGTTGTTAGTAGCGAAACAACGAAAAGTTAGGCAAGAACGGACGTCGGACGAAGAAGTTATGAATTTATAACGAAATTTTCTGTCTCGGCCTATTAAAAATAAATAATAAAAATAAAGTAAAAAGTTAGCCGACGGAATCTAAACAAAAGTTGTAGAGCGTAGTCTCACCTTTGCGTGGATATAAAGAACGTCGAAAACGGAGTTCGTATGAAAGAGATATGAATTTCCGAAGTTTATTAAATAATTAATAATTAAAATTAATTATTAAACCCCGACATTATCCGAAGAGGAGTCAGCGGTCCGATCCGAAGTACGCCCCGCGTACTCAAGACGCCCCGCGTACAGCGAAGCATGACGAACTTCGCACTCGAGTTCTTCGGATGACGCATGCAGTGACGAATTCGGACGCGTACGCCCCACGTACGCCTGTACGCCCCTCGTACTCCGAGGCTCTAGCCTCCTATAAATAGGATGCGAGGGCAGCCGGCTTCTTTGCTATTTTTCTCCATTCTCTCTTCCATTTTGCCTCGATTTGCGTGCAAAAAATACCCCGAAGCCCCGGTATTATTCTCGAGCCCCGAAGCAAGTCCCGAGATCCCGAAGATCCCGAGAAGTGCGGTTCCCGAGCCGAAGCTCTACCCACGAGAAGCTCGATTTTTGTGGAGATCTTCCAGATCTACCGAAGAACACTACTTCTGCAAATTGTAGTGCTGTACGATCATCTTCTGATCAAGTGAGTGTATACTACCTTTCATAAACACGATAATAATACAATTATGGTTTGAGTGTATTAAGTTTATTGTTGTTTATATGTGTGAGTGTGTAGTTACTTTCTTCTAACACACAAATATGACATATTTGCTATGGAATACGTGCTATGTGTTTATATGTTATTTGTCTATTTGAGATGGACATGGAAATTTGGAGTTTTATACAGGTGTTAGATGATTTAAACTGTGTAAGTATTTATATCTACAAAATTGTTGGGTAGAACATAGGTAGATGGAATAGTTGGTGACTATGGAGTTAGCGCATATTGTATAAACCTTGGCGACGATGTGACTTCGTGCCTATTTGAGTAACCCTTGGCGACTATGGAGTTAGCGCACGTTGAGTAAACCTTGGCGACTATGGAGTTAGCGCTTGTTGAGTAAACCTTGGCGACTATGGAGTTAGCGCTTGTTAAGTGAACCTTGGTGACTATGGAGTTAGCGCCAGATAACTATGGATTTAGTACTTGATAAATAAGCTTTGGCAGCAATGGAATTCGTGCCAAATTCCTTACGAATAAATGAATGAAGGATAGTTGGTTCTTAGGGTAAAACCTTAAGAAGATAATGGGGATGGGTAATTGGGTTGATTGTTTGCTGATTACATATAATAATTATATTATTGTGGGTTGAAAACCCTATATACTCACCAGGCTCCCAAGCTTGATCCACTCAGTTTTCTTTTCATTACAGTAATGGCACAAGGGTATAAGTTGGGGGACTTGACGAGAGATTTTGGATTATAGATCAGTAGTTGAATAACTATTGTAAGGTCTATTTTATATTGTTTATGCTTTTGGTCTGTATTGAACATGACATCCCAAGGTTTTATTATTTAATGAAATACATTCTTTTCGAGAAATGTTTTGACAAATGGTTATCATATTTTATATTGGGAACAAATTCCGCAACTCTTTTAATCAAAAGATTACTCTGATTTTATAAAACAAAGCATAAACAAATCGGTCTTTTCTGGCCGTGAAATTGGGGATGTCACATTCCCAAACTACTCTCATGAGTTTGGCTTCCTTTGAGTATAATTCAGCATGCATTGGATGGTTTTGTGTGATCAAGTAGTTGCAAAAGAACCGTTGTTGCAGCCAAAATCAAATACATAATGTTAACCATAGGTTATTTATATATAATTTCCATATTTGTTAAAATATAATATACTATTATTTCTTACAAGTGCTCTTCGTATTTTTCCATATCTACTTTCAACTGTACCGATATGTTTCACATGATCAATAATCAAATATCTTCCCCTATTTAAGTCGAAACACAACAGATAATACTTGTCAACATCAACTATCAGGAAGAAAACTTGCACAATTGACTAAATTTATTAGCATGCTATTTATATCAATGTTTTTGAAATTTGTATGTTTCATTATAAAAAAAATACAAGTCCTACATCACTTAAGTTTGTTTTGATATCCAAATTTCCAATGAATATTTCAAGCATTAAAGTGAACTCCTTAAGTCTAGAAAACTCAAGTTCTATTTTGTCCACCACTAATTCGTTCTGCAAGAATCAGTTAACCAACAGTTAACATAATAATAAATTTCATTTATAATGAACTTCAAATATTAAAAATTTTCTGCATACCATAAAATAGGTAGTAAAGTATACTCTTGTTGTTGTTCCTAGTTCTCTGTATCATTCCATAGTGTTTAACAATGTTGCCCAACAATTAATTATCGATCTTTGAATGAACATTTTGTCTTCAAAGAAATATACATCACCTTGAAGAAGGCTTTCTCCTTCATCGAAATTACTGGCAACGTTGGATCGACAAAATCATCATCGTTGTGAATCTGAAGTAGCGCTGATGTTGTGTTTGTGAACTTCGTTTTGAAGTTCTCTCTTAATCTTGAGCATGATGGGCTTCTCATTGTTCGATTCTTCAGCTAGTGGTCGATTCTTTGATTTGAATGTAAACCCTGTATTACTCCTCTTATACGTTAAGTCGTCTACTGTATTTTTGGAATTGGTGATACGATAACTTTTACAAAGTGGATGATTGATTTGTTTTGAAGGAAATCGTATATTCATTTCTTAATATCATACACATTCTTGCCTAATAATATTGGATAATATTAATCTGTGGAACGAAACAATCGGGTTATACGAACGTAATATTTCGACTTCCTAATTTAAAATCCTACAAAAATACTGAATTACCCTTATAACAATATTATTATCGATTTAATTTAAAAATTAAATCAAAAAAGTAAGAAAATCAACATTAATTCTTAATCACACGATGCTTTTCATCCGATGGACCAAATTTAATCTTAGATTCACACTATATTTTTCATTCACATTTAATCTTAACTATATATATATATATATATATATATATATATATATATATATATATATATATATATATATATATATATATATATATATACACACACACACAAATACACGTACACTTTAGGTATACAATCATTATAATAATAAATAATTATAATAAACCTAATATTAATAACAAAACGTATAATTATAGTGTAATAAATATATTTAATTATAATAAATTTAATAAGAAAATTATAACAAAAATAACCAAATAATAGTAATAATAATTATATTTATATGAATAATAATTATTATATTTTTTTTTAAAATGATATGAAATAATAGTTTTTGTAATAATAATAATATAAAATAATAGTAGTAATAATAATATAAAGAGTAAATTACACGAATGGTCCTTATGGTTTGGGGTAATTTGCGTGTTTGATCCCTAACTTATTTTTTTAACTCGGAAGGTCCCTATAGTTTGTTTCTGTTGCGCGTTTGGTCCCTATATTTCCTAAAAAGACTATTTTCCCTTGGTTTTTTTAATTTATTTAAATAAACACACCATCAACCCCACTCCCCTCACCCTACCTTACCTACTCTGTCATTTTTCTTTATTTAAATAATAGTTTTTTTTTATGTAAGACAGGGAACAAACGCGTAACAAAAACAAACAGTAAGGACCAAGCGCGTAACAAACACATACATTAGGGACATTCCAAGTTAAAAAAATAAGTTAGGGACCAAACGCACAAATTACCTCAAACCATAGGAACCATTCGTGTAATTTACTCTAATATAAAAGAAAAGGCGAGGAAAGGAAAAGTAAATTAATAAATAAATAAGAATAAAAGGGGGGGGGGGGGGGGAGCTAAAAAGAAAATGATGCACTTTTTGTCATTTTCTATGAATTCCAATAAAATTGTATTTTTAAATATTATTTAATATTTAGTAGGAATTGTATTGGAAATTAGTTTTCCAACAGACTTTTCTTGGTTTCTAATTACGTTCGTATTTTATCAGAATTTTGTTGGAAATTTGATGGAAATTACCTACAAAATATACTTGTAGGTAACCTTTTGTAGTTAAACCCTAGTTTCCTAGTAGTGAATGTTAATAAAAACAAACAACATACAATACTTAAAAGGGGAGTTACAATGACTTTTTACATACAATAGTTGATAAAAGGGAAGTTACCAATGAGTTTCTTAGAATCTAGTTGTACATATATCCGTTAAATACAAAGAAAAATGAATTTAAAACAACCGGCGAGTCATATAATTGTTGAAGTTCTTATAAGGGCATCTACAATGTATTCTTGTAAGAGCATCTACAATGTATTAAACTTGTTATAGTTTAATAGATTGACATATTATCATTTTAATTGCTATGTAACGTTATATTAATTTTCCTACAATGCATTGAGCTCAATAGAGTTCAATAGAATATATATTTAATAGTTAAAATGTTTTTTTTTCCATTGAAAAATTTAATGGTCATTGAACTTCATATCCATTGAATACCAACATGACATCCCACAATAGTAGAATCTCATTCAACTTTCCCATTAAACTATTCATTGTGGATGTTCTAAGTTGAACCAACCTATCATAGGTAGAAAAATTATAACTTCTTCGCAAACACTTCAAACAACATGATAATGTCACAAAAGGGTTCCAGCGAACGTCTTAATAACAAGTATCCAAGGAAATCACATGCCTCATAATTAATCAGTTGGAAAGCAAATAAATGTGTCTTAAAAACAAGTATCCAAGGAAATCACATGCCTCGTAATTAAACAGTAGAAAGCAAATAAATATGACATAATTCACTCTTTAGGAACACAAATATACAAATTACATATAAATATTTATAAAAGTACCTAGTTACATGAAAAACACAAATGATTTATTAAGGACAAGGATCCATTAAGTAAGAACGCCACTTGTCAATAAACGCCATGTCGTTTGGATTCAAGCTTGGAAGTTCTCGATCTTGAAGGGTGTAAATTATCTGCATAGTCTCACCAAGAAGTTGGGCTGCAGCACGCACACTTGCCTCCCTTTTCTCTATGGCACTTGTGTGACATTTCATTGCTATGACTTGGGGTAAGTTTGTGAGACAAGCTGCCAAAATGTCAGAAATCATTGATAATAATTCTGCAAATAGTTCTTCCTGGCTAACCTGACTTATGTTCTCATGATAGGAGCACAAAATTGTTTCACTGATTCGATACATTGAATTAGCAGAAATAGACTTGCATTTGGAATTACCATTTGGGACTCCAGTATGATCCGTCCTTTCCATGTCACTAACAATGTTTTTACCTGTATCCCTCAACCATTGAAGAATCTGTTCAGCTGTATTTGCTTTTGGAGTAGGTTTTAGTAGCTTGTTTCCTAACCATTTGTGGTATACTTCAACTTCTACCCACAAAGTTCTAGCCGCCTTTTGAATGCTTGCATGATCATCGGTAATATTAAGGCTTTCTTCCACAAGTGTAACATATACAAGACCTTCACTCACACCACTCAACAAGCAATCGACAATGTTCTTTTGGATGTTAGGAAGAGACATGGCAATGGTTGTCAGAGTTACCAGGGGCAAGCTCCAACAACGGAGATATTCTTCTGAAAGTAAAGACGGAACATGATGGCTGTCGAACTTTTCAACTCCTTCAAAACCTCTGGATTCTGTTAGAAGCTTCATAAGATTCTTGGGCTGTTGTTTTTCAGCCTTTTGGATTAAGCGGTTCACAGATTTTGAAATTTGTTTTAGTGTTCTCTCAGCAAACTCCATATCATCTTGAAGTTGCAAAACATATCCGCTAAGATCATTATCTTCTTCTAGTTGCTCAGTATTTTGTACCAAGTTAATACTCGAGGCACTGAACATGTCCTTTAACAACTTCCAACAACGTAGACAGTACACCACACATATGACAAAGAAAATTAGAATTACTCTTATCATCTTGCATGCCACCACGACTGTTTTCTGGAATCCAATACAAATGCTGAGAAATAGATTTTTCAAACTTTGGATGACGAACTTGCATTTGCGGCTACTGTATGGGAATGGTATGCTACTCTCTTTCCAATCATATAACTTCTGAGTCCAGTAGCTCTCCACGTTAGACACCTTGATATGGTTCACAATCCATTTTAGAGACACCTTAAAGCTTAAGGCTGCAAAACATCTAGAAAGTGGGGCAATTGTACCCAATATGATTCCGATGAATTGAGTAATGAGAATCACTGACAATGACCACTTATAATCCGACTTAGAGGTCCTTGGAGCTGGAATACTGAAAAACATAATAACAGTGTGGAAGGCAGCGCTTAAGGCGCATATTGCCCCAGAAGCAGAGGTTGTTGCTGAGGAAACTATCATGAACTGGGGGTTTCCGGTTCCTGCCATGATCCAGTAGTTGCTCACATGCTGCTTTAGCTTCTCAATAGTTAATCTTCCTGGGTGTTGGAAGTCGTCATTGATCTTTAAAGCTTTCTGATGAGCCACTTGGTATTTCGATTCTAGAATCTGTTTGGATTTTAGAATTGCTAAAGATGAACATGCATATATTATAAGCAACACGAGTAACATACCCACATAAAGTGTTGCTATGAATCCATTACCCGCTGTGTACATGGAATAATGTGAAATTCCTGCGTGATCGGTGTTATAAAAGAATAGATCATCGTCTTCATAATAGGAGATAACTCCGGTGTTAATTTGAATGCAGACGTTCACAACCAAGGTAATTACGAGGACAGCTAAAGCGATGGTGTTTGATACAAGTTCCTTGCTGCTCATGGTGGCTAAAGAAGGCAATAAATTAGCCATCATAGTGCACATAAAGGAGAGGCTTCCAAGCTTTGAAGCCCGGTCTGGCATCAGATTAGTTAGATCCATGGGTAGCTTTATTGCAACAGCTATCACAGTGAGAGAAGCAGCATTCAAAGTGAAATATTTACATGGAAACCAGAATTTTCTGTTCCTAAAACCATGTAATAAATCAGCCACCATTGAAAGGATGCAAAACAGAGAGGCGAAGGTGATATAGATCCCAATCCATGGCATAGGTTCGCTGAACTTGTTTTGCTGTTCTGACCGATATATGAACACGGCGTATGACTGCAAGGAATATATCAACGTTTTTGGAACATTACTGTATGATTTTAGCTGTTCCAAAATATGAAGATATTCAAATAGGCCGGAACCCATACTTATGTTCCTCTCGCGGATAGAAACTGATGATCTTAGATAAACAAATTAAGATGGGTGTAGGAAGATGGTTTAAATATGCATGCAAGATGTGTTCAGAATGACGTAAAAAGGTTTAGTTGTAGTTCAACCGAAGGAGTGGCCAGAAATATGGAACAATTTAAGGTAAGGAAGTCAAAGAGGAAGAACTTCATATAGACAGGTTATGAACAAGCGGATTCATGTTAATGTTGTGTAGTTCTTAAGCATCCGCTTAGTCAATGACAAGGATGACTTTTGTTTGTTTCTGGATGAGGTCCTTGTGGTATCTAAAAAAAATAAAAAAGGTCCTTGTCATATTAAAAAAATAAAAACAAAAAGACATAAATAAAATACTTAATAAAGAGGGAAGAAACTATCAGTGAATTTCTTGGAAGCCGGCAGCAAATGCATCGGTAAAAACTCCAAAACTCCAATAAAAATAAATTTAAAACAACATCTTAACTTTAAAGCTCTTGAAAAAATCAAGTTGATATGGGTTTCAGACTAAACATTAACATTGATGTGACTGTTTTCTTTGTTTAGGGCATCCATAATGTAATATTTAATGTTTTAAAAACACGTTCATAATCGTTTGACCGGAAATCAATGAAAGAAGCAACTCAACTAGTACCGATTTTATTTCTATTTATGAACCGAAGTGAATTGGCCGACTTTTATAAAAAACAGATCGAACAGATTACGAATCGACCAGGTTTTATAAAAAAAAATTTCACTAGGTTAAAATGAACAAAAACAGATGAAATGACGCATTTTGGATAACAAAATTTGGTGGTATTTTCACATATATTTGGATTTCTCTTAAGTTTAATTAAAACGAGTCGAAATTCTTATTAAACTATTTGATGTGTTTATTCATATAAAACTATATTTTATTTCGTACTTATACTTTATTTTGTTTTTTAATTTATGTGAGTTGATATAAAACTTATGGTTATGTTACTTTTTTAAAGGTTATTGGCACAAAATCATCCCAACTTACACAAAATGTTTGGTTATCCTTGATTTTTGTTTTTGGGTACGTTAATACCTCATATTCAGAAAAATTTGTTCACTTACGTTTTTACCTTATACACCCACAAACCCTAGTGTAACATACCCTAGTGTAACATACGTTGACCGGGGAAATTACTATTGACGTGGCAGCCGATGTGGTCACCATGTTGTTGTGTCTTTGCATTTCTTAAAAAGAATTTATATAAAAACATCAGTAGCTTTGCAAACCATTTGCAAGGCCACTTCTATCGAAAGACTTGCAAAAGCTTTGTGTTGCTACTTTCATTAACATTGCAAACCATTTGCAAGGCCACTTTTATTGAAAGGCTTGCAAAAGCTTTGTGTTCCTACTTTCACTAACAGTTAATATTTTTTAATGTTTTTATTTAGTTAATTAATTTTTCTTTTTCTCATTTTAATATATATATATATATATATATATATATATATATATATATATATATATATATATATATATAAAAGAAGATAGGTTGCTTCTCAACTTTCTTCTTATGTTCTCCATGCTTCTAAAAGGCTACCAATACTTTATGTTATTGTAATATACATGTATGTATTTATATGGGTATCTATGTATGTGTATGTGTATGTATGTATATGCGTATTGTATGTAAATGTATGTGTAAGTATGCCAGTGTATGGTTAAGAGTTTGGTATTTAGGGTTTAGCGTTGAATATATATGGGTTTAGAGTTAAGTGTATGAGTATATGGTTCAGTGTTAAGTGCATATATTTGTATGTTTAAGTATGCAAGTATATAGTTTTGAGTAAATTGCATGTATATGTATAGATAAGTATGTGTGTATGTAAGGGTACGTGTATATGTATGTATATCTTATGTATATGTATGTGTAAGCATGTGAGTATAGGGTTTACTGTATATATGGGTTCATGGTTCATCGTTTATGGTTAAAAATTTAGGTGTATGTGTATGCATGTGTATTTACATGGGTATATATATATATATATATATATATATATATATATATATATATATGGGTGTGTGTGTGTATATGTATATGTATTGAATGTATATGTAGGTGTAAGTACGCAAGTATATAGTTTAGGGTTTGAGGTTTAACGTATCTATTGGTTTAGGGTTAAGTATAACTATGTGAGTATACAGTTTAGGGTTAAGTGCATGTATATGTATGTGTACGTATGCAAGTGTGGGTGTGTATGTAAGGATAACTATATATATATATATATATATATATATATATATATATATATATATATATATATATGGAAAAGTGAATATACCATTAATGGTATATAAGCTTAGGTACCCAAACTCACTATATTATGTCGTTATATATCATATATACATTGTAATCGTCCAATGTTCTTATAATTCAACTTCTACCTTAATTTACTTCCAAATTTTTTATAAATTTCACATTTATCTTCCTCTAACATAATTTTTATTTTTAACAACAATCTATATACCAAAGTAGGTGTTTGGCAAAAAGATGTGATATAAGAGGAAGATAATAGTGAAATTTCAAAAATTTTGAAAGTAAATCAAGTTAAGGGTCGAATTTAAAGAACATAATAATGAATATATCAAACAAAACGACGTATTATGGTGAGTTTCAGTACCTAAGTTTATATAACCTTAAGGGTATATATATATATATATATATATATATATATATATATATATATATAGTGAGAGAGAGAGAGAGCGCTAGGTTCAAATGTTTCAAACAACTATTGTGTGCATGTGTACACCAATGAGAATTCAGGAAATAATAAATCATTAAATAAATTTAAAAATGGTATAATGGTAAACTTAGTATATCTAATTATGGTAAAAATAATAAATCATTTAATGCCTCCTTTAAATAATGGAAATCAGTTTAAAACCCTAGATATCACCCTCTTTTTCGTCATCACCATCGTTACAGGTCGTCGCCCAATTCTTATTCCTTAGAAAACTTGATTTCATGATTCTTCTTTATTTCTTCTACCCACTAATCTCTTGCACCATCGTACTCCTCCACCACCGGCGTCACTTTACTTCTTCCTTGTGGATACATATGCTACCATCTTCTTGCTCATAACTATAATAAAACCAACGGAAACCGCTCAAAGCTCTGTATAATTTATTGGTTTTCGGTGATCAGTAGGTCATGGAGAACCTGCAACCTACGATATGGAGACCGGTGCTGTGATTGTTGTCGGAGGATCTCAGTGGCGCCACCCTCCTCTTTTTCTCCAAGCATCGGGCAATTCATTTTAAATAATTTTTGTTCACCTTTTTTTTTTCCCAAAATTCTAATTTATGTTCTTGCATTAATACCACCTAATGTAATTAATTTCACCAAAAAGTCTAGGTTTATTAGTATCAGATACCAATCATAGGGATAATATACGTGTAAAGTGGGTGAGGTGAGTGCCTAAGTGGGATAAACATCATCACAGGAATTTTATAAATTCATTTGGTGTGGTGTTAATGCAAGAAATGTAAAAGATGGTCAATGGACAAAGCGATTCATTCTCATCCTAATTGATTTTTCTTTTAATAAGCTACAAATTAAATGAACCATGAAAGCATTCCATGATCAGCTTGGTTCTTTCATAGATCATCATTTTTCACAACAAAAAACTTGTGAGCCGAAGATGCTTTATATATTCTAGTTTTTTTTTTTCTTAGTCACCTTATATGTTAACATGATCTTTTCATGCATTTATATTTCAAATGTCTTGTTCGTTAGGTATATGCTTGATAATACAAATGTTTTAAGAATATTCAAAACCATTATGCAAGAATAGATTATTCTATAAGAATATTATTATTGTATTCTGATAGAATTATAGTTAATTAATTATATGTTTATTGTGCAGTTGTTACAAGTGTATCACTACAAAATATTTGGTAATGAATTTGTGATAGAAATGGCTTGAAGAATGACTTGAAAACCTGATGGGAAAAGCTTGAAGAATGAATCAAAGAATGATCACTCACTGTTTAAGAATGTTGTTATTTTTTAAGAATTACACTAGTTATTCTTTCAGAATATTGTTATTATTTGATGAATCACAATCATACAATATAACTATTTGGTATATTATAAGTTCAATTTTGTGTATTATTTCAGAATATATTTAATAGTTTATGGTTGACATTCTGTTATTCTAGCAGAATGAAATCGAAAAATATATTTACTATTTTATGGTTAAAATTCTATCATTCTGACCGAATAAAATCGGATTTTTAATTTTAAATTAATTTAAAATATTCAGATTTTTAAAAATAAATGAATTAACTATCCCTAAAAATCCAAAATTTTCCTTTTTTAATATAGGTTAATTGACTAAAATGCCCTTTTGTTCAAATTTTTGTAATTATGTGGTACATGTTATCCTATTCTACTATCATAGAACCTCAGATCATGACCTTTGATTATATTACATCCAATGATCCAAATCTATGCATTCTGACACATAATAGTTATTAGAAACAAAATAACCTAACCCTATATATATATATATATATATATATATATATATATATATATATATATATATATATATATATATATATATATATATATATATATTTGTGTATGTGTAATGTAACATCATGATTTTTCACCATTTTTTTTTATTTTAAAAATATTTATTTAACAAAATACGTTAGCGGAAGTCTTATTTTGAATTTTATGAAAACATCAACAATGTTACTTTTATTACCAAAAACATTATTCTTGAAAATATTAATATTCATAAACCAAATCAAAACAAGTTCTATAAAACAAGTGTTAAGAAAACTTCTCAACATGTCCAAATGGTATCAATACTAAGACATAAATTGGAAGGTAACTAACTAAAATCTCCATCCTCACCAAGCCGTCAAACTATGTTACATGTACCAGTGCAAGGCAATAACAAGAAAAGAAACAAGTGTCAGCAAATGCTAAGTGAACCATAAGTACAATGTT